AGTATAATAATGCGCAAAGTTGCATTTTTCAGAAAGTAACTTGCGGACATGGGGACTACGAACTTGACATTTACCTTCCTATATGTATGTATAATAATATAATGAATGAATTTTTTTGTATAAATTATTCTAATTTAAAATAATTTTATTAGAATTATTATTACAAAAAGTGAAGGAAGCATTAATTAAAGGCAAGAAAAAAGAACCTGCCTAGAAAATTATCTTCCCTGTTAATTTCTTTTTAATAATTTTAGATAAGTTTATTAATTCAACATAATCCTCGTACTCGTACATACTTAATTCCAAATTATTATTTAAATCATATTAGTTTGTAAAAGTTACTCGATCCCATGATGACAAATGAAATACTTATAACCGTGATTATTTTTAATAAACAAAGACAATTTTTTAAAGAATTCAAAAGAATGATAAAAATAAGAAAAGAGGAAGAAAATTTTATTAAAAAATAAAATGAGTAATTTTTAATAAAAAAAATTATTTGTTTAAAACTTAGAATGACGAATTTTTATTTGTTAGAAAATTTATTGAAAAATTAAATAAATCGTGACAAATGAGAGAGGTATGGGAAATTTAGGCGCAAAATCTGGGATAAAATAAAAATTGCTATCTTAAAATTCTGTGATTAAATTCTGTTAAGTACGGCTAAGTCAGTAACGAAGATTTGAATCCTTAGAAAAGATAGTAGCAATAAAATCTCCCTCAAATTTCCAATACGAGCCGAAACGTCATTTAATTTGTGATTTAACATGTGAATTTTTACTTCCTCTAAGAAAGTTACACGTATTTATTATGTCTAAAGATTGCCAACAAATTTATAAAAAATTATAACAATGACTTTTGTTATAAAAATATTTAGCGAGATACTGAAAAAAATGTTTAAAAAAATGAAAATATACATATTTAACTGTAAAAGGAAGTATATAAAAGCAGAATTCAATCATTAATAATCATCAGTTTTAAATAAAATTTCAAATATAACAATAACAGAGATGAAGGTAATATTTAATATTTATGCTTAAGATAATGAATATTATTAAGGTGTTAGCAGTTATATTGTTACATTTGTGTGTATGCTCTATGTTAGAAGCTAATAAAAGTAAGCAATTTTAATTGTAAACTTATTTCTTTTAACAATAAAGAATGTTGTGATGAGGATTATAATTGTAAAACTTGCAAATATGGAGAAGTATGTGATTATGGTAATTGTGTTCCAAAACCAACACCCACAACACCGACTACGACCACAACACCGACTACAACCACAACCCCTACTACAACCACAACCCCTACTACAACCACAACTCCTACTACAACCACAACCCCTACTACAACCACAACCCCAACTACAACCACAACCCCTACTACAACCCCAACTACAACGACAACCCCTACTACAACCACGTCAACAACAACAACTACAACCCCAACTCCAACAACCACTACAACTACATACAATAAAAAATGTTGTGATGAGGATTATAATTGTAAAACTTGCAAATATGGAGAAGTATGTGATTATGGTAATTGTGTGCCAAAACCAACACCCACAACAACAACTACGACCAAAAGAACCAAAAAACCGAAAACAACTACAACCCCAAGTACAACCACCACTACAACACCAACAACTACCACAACTCCGACAACTACAACTGAGACAACAACTACAACCTTAACAACTACCACAACTCCGACAACTACAACTGAGACAACAACTACAACCCCAACAACTACCACAACTCCGACAACTACAACTGAGACGACAACCCCAGCAACTACTACGCCGTATCCCTGTGGTAAATATGTATCCTGCCCTGATGGATATGAATGTGACTACAATAATGTTTGCGTGCTTGATGATTAATATAAGTAATTTTTACAAAATAAGTGATTATACACATTAATGATTGCATAATTGTAAACATTATGGCAATTGTAAAGAAGAGGTAGTATTTTTTGCTGACAATTTTTAGGGCCTTTTTAATATAAAAAGATTATTTTAAATACATACAAGTACCACCTCTTATTTACATCTGTTATAATTATCTATATAATTCATTGAAAGTGAAAATGTATGAACTAATGAATAAAAATGACATGGCATACGTTTTTTACATGTTTTTCCAATCCCCTCACCACTTAGTGAAAGTTAGCGGCTGTTTATAATATTCTTTATCTGTTATTTGAATATAAATGAATGAATATTTCCCGGGTCCGGGAAATAAAACTTATTTACGGTAATAAACAGTTATACAAAATTTCTGAATAAGACATGTAGGTCTTTAATTATTAACACACTTTAATATCCATATATCCGCACATACAATGTAATACCTAGTCATTTCACAAGTCTTCTGCATACCTATGTATATTATCCAAGAAAACTACTGATGTGTCAGCGGGTATTTGTCTGTTTTAAATTTATATTTGATTTCACTGTGCCTATATTATTATAACTTGCTAGCTTTAAGAGTTATATGTGCAATGAGCTTTATATTTTGACGAACAAATTACATATAAGTGAAAGGACTTTTTGTTTGTATACTTGTTATTCCTTTCATTTCACACATATTTTTCACATCTATTCGAGAGTGTTAAAATTTATATATGTTTAAGCGACTGGATATCACGTCCTGATAAAATGACGAAAAATAACGTTATTTAAAAACTAAAATTAGTATCTAATATATGAATAAAAGGATTCATTATACTATATTATTATAGAATTTAAAGTTAAAATGCATTGAGACTAAGAATCCGGATTGACGATGTTATTGTTAATATTTTTCACATTTGTGTAGCAATTTCTGTGATAATTGATAAAACTGCATAAAGTTTCGTAGAAAAATACAAAGGATTTACTTATAATTTAAATACTACTAATTTTCTTAAAATATTAAGAGTTTTGGATAGAAGACCTTTGTAAAGTGATAGAAGGTTAAAGAGCAAAAATCCTCCTTAGTCACAAGGACATCGCAAATCCAAAAAAGTAAATTTAGATGTCCTTAACTTCAAAAAATTATAAAAATTTTAAAATTTTTTTGCACATTTCCCATGTACAAGAAAAAACAAAATTTAGTTACGAGGCCAAAAATGGGAGTGGTACAGGTGAGAGCAAATTTAAAATTTCCAAAGACTAGTTAGGCTTCAAAATTATTAAGTAAATATTTTATTACACAAAAACTAATTTGCCCTAAAAATTTAAATTTATTATATTTTTATTAAATGTAAAATAAAAAATTATTCATTTATTCTACACAATTTATTCAAAATGTATTTATTTTTGGTCTCAAATAAGAGACTGTTTAAATATCTCTAATTAATTATTTGACCATCTATATTGGTAATTAGTAGGAGGATTTCCATTTGAATTATAACCGCTTTGACAACAATTTCCTCCATTATTGTTATTATTATTAGCTGCATTTCCCCAACGATATTCATAACTCCAACGTTTATTTTTTAAGAAACTTTAAAAAAAAATTATTTTTAATTTGAATAGAGAAAAAATATTTTTAAAATTAATTCTTATTTAAAATATGTATTGATTTTAGTTTTAAATATTTTCTAGACAGACTTACTACCTTTCTAAATTTTTCAAATCGGCTTCATTCATTTTATCTTCAGCTCCTTCAACTATTAAATAATTAAATAATAAAAATGAAATAAATAAAATCAAAAACATTTTAAAATCTAAAAAAATTTTGTTATTTAAAACATTTAAAATTTAAGAGAATAGAAAACCTATTGATTGGGGGTTAACCCAGGTTCTGATTATTAATTAAAATATTATTTTAAAAAATTAATTAAAAATGATTGTATTTAAGGGTATTTTTAATTTATTTAAATATACTTTGTAATTTCTATTCAAATTAAATATTCATCTTTTATTTTGTGTCTAGGTTAGACATCTTTTAATTAAATATTTAAGACATTAAATTAAGAGAATAGAAAACCTATTGATTGGTTTATTGATTGGAACCAACCTATTGATTGGTTTTTTTTAAGACATTAAATATTACACAAAAATATAAAATTTTAATTTTTTATTTTAAATTTGAAAAACTTAAATGGAAAAGAATAATCATTTCCTTTTAATGTTTGATGTTGTACTTTTAAATTAAAAACTAGTTTTTAATTTTAATTTGGATGAGTGTAATTCTAGGCCCGTCTAATGTAGGCCGTGTTTTGTCCTGAAAAATTTGGTACGGGAAACACCAGGCTTTTTATGTATATTTTTGGAAAGTGCCATGCTAAAAAAGAAGATATCTGGCTACTTGGCCTAACAAAATTCTTAAAAATTTTTTCTGTAAGAGCGGACACAAGAATTCCAAATTTCAATAACATCTTTTTCATGGATCCCGATATTTATCTTAATCCGCCAATATCCAACTTAATCCATTGAAAACAATTTATTTCTCTCGCTATCATCGAAATCCGCCGATATCCCTCTTAATGTACCTCAACAGCCCTCGTTTTAGGTCACTAATGCTCTTAAATGCCCCGCTAAATTGGTTCACTCTTACAAAAACAATCATCAAAAATTTAAATTTAAATTAGAAAATAATATTTTTAAATTGTCTTTTATTAAATTTTAAATAATTTACAATTTAAATTTAAAAACTAGTTTTTAAATTTAAAAGTGCAACATCAAAAATTAAAAGGAAATGTATTTATTTAAACATTTAAATTTAAAATAAACAATTAAAATATTTACTATTTTGTGTAATATTTAATGTCTTAAATATTTAATTAAAAGATGTCAAGTCTAGACAAAAAATAAAAGATGAATATTTAATATTTTTTGATAGAAATTAAGAAGTATTTAAATAAATTAAAAATACCCTTGAATACAATCATTTTCAATTAATTTTTGAAAATAATATTTTAATAAATAATTTTAATAAATAATCAGAACCCTGGGTCAAACCCAGCCAATCGGTTTTCTTGTTTTAAATACCTATTTTAAATTTTTTAGATTTTAAAATGTTTTTGATTTTATTTATTTCATTTTTATTATTTAATTATTTAACTGTTGAGGGAGTTGAAGACAAAATGAGTGAAGTTGATTCGAAAAATTTAGAAAAGTAAGCCTAATTTTAGAAAATATTTAAATTTAACGCGTAGTTACGGTAGCGCATTTAGTTACCCCAGAGAAGCATTTGAGATTCCAACAGTTTGAATTTTTCTCTGGGACCTTGAAAGGCCTGACAGATTTGGGGCACTGATAGTATTTTAAAATGCTTGCATCAAAAGTTTAGTCTTGCATTATATTTATTTATTTACACCACTAGTTATTTTATTACACCACTTTAAGTAAAAAATAAAAATAAAAAATCAAAACAGCTTACAATAAATAAAATCATATCACTTGTCATTTAAAATATTGGAGATATCCAATTGTGAAAAGAAGTTTAGAAAAAATTTTGGGAAAAATCATCTTTTTGCGATAGGTTGGAAGGGCTGACAGATTCACTCACTTCGGTCTCGGGCCTTGATTAATAACAGCAAACTCAAACAATTATTTGATAACCTGAGGGGAATTAAGAGAAAGGGAGGAGAGGGAAAGGAGTAGAATGCAACAAAATATATTCTCTGAGAGTTTGGTTTTTAAATTAAATTTTAAAAGAAAACAATTTTTTATTTTTTAAGCTTTCTAAATAAACGTTGGAGTTATGAATATCGTTGGGGAAATGCTGCTAATAATGGACAGAGTAGTTGCTGTGGATGTTCAACTTGTTCAAGCGGTTATAATCCAAATGGAAATTCTGGACATAGTTACCAGTATAGCTGGTCAAATAATTAAATAGAGATAACCAGTCTCTTGTTTGAGACCAAAATTAAATACTTAATTTGTCAATTAATGTCTATTTTAGAATAAATGAATAACTTTTTATATTAAAAATTCACAAAAAAAAAAATTAACAAAACAAATTTAAAAAATATATATTTAATTTGTTGTACGTCCAATCCTCCAAAGTCCATCATTTAAATAATGAACATTATCAATTGCAATCCCTGTATTCTTCTCTCGAATTGTTAATGGAGAAATCTTTAAATATTTTTTATTAAAAGGGAATAATTTTTACTTAAAATTATACTTAAAATTAATTCCTGAACCGAACAATTATTTAAAATTAAATTTTTAATTAATTGTTCGAATATCTGTTGCAGGATATCGGGTGGGGTTTCATGTAGGGTTGGAAAAAACCGGTTAAACGCCCGGTTAATTTTTTCCTGTGGCGGGGCAAAAAGAGAAGAGAAAGGAAGAGAGAAAAAAGGCCAGCCCTAGGGAAAAATTAACCGGGCGGTTAACCGGTTTTGTTCAACCCTAGTTTCCTGCACGAAGCGACGTACAAATTGAACTTGACTGTACTGTTATATCAGAAAAAATTATTTACATTTCTATTTACACTTAAAAATCATTTTTAAAAACTAATTTTCCCTTAAAATATTTAAAAAATAATTTTAATTTAATTTAAACAAAAAACTCCCTCCCCAACCTTCATTTGCCCAATAGCCATAGCATTTTCTTTTCCTTCCCCCATTATAGCAACTAATTCTCCTTCTTTACATAAATCATTTAATTGAGCACCTGGAGAAGTTAAGCCTGGACACATTATATTAGAACCATTTAATACAAAACGAATAGCTCCTTTATCTACCTAAAAATATTTTTAAACAAATTTTAAATAAATCAGAAAAAATATTTTTTGATAAATGATTAACTAATTTATATATTTTTATCCAAAAAAATAAAATAGAAAATTTCTGCCAAATGAGAAAATACCATTTTATTCTAATAGAATGACCTCTCCATTAGAATGGCCCCTTTTTGGGGGTAATGAAAAATAGAAGGGCGGCCATTCTATTAGAATAAATCGGTATTTATTTTTCTATATTTAAGTTAAAAATTAAAAAAACCTTTTGGTGTTTAAGAAGAAAAGGATATTTGTGAAGTAATTTGAGAGTTGGAAAGTATTGAGGTAAATCTCGATGCTTCAAAAAAAAATAAAATTTTTAATATTTTTCAAATCTAAAAATTCTAATCAAAGCTTAATTTTTATAATCATTCAACTAACAATAAGAGGTGGGGGCTAATCAGAGTTGCGTCGTAATTGAAAATTTTTTTCGTAATCGTAGTTCATAATTACGACGCAACCCTGGAGCTAACTCGAGAAATTCCAACTCACGGAACAGACAGTTCGCGGAACGACAAGTCACGGAATATTTTTAGAAATCAGAATTTTTAGAATTTTTTAAAATAGTTTTTTAAAAATATTTAGATTTTTCAAAAAATTCCTGTTTTTAAATTATTCCGTGTTTTGGTAATTCCGTGACTTGTCGTTCCGTGCCTTTTCCGTGAGTTAGCCCGACAGGCAACTAAGACTGGCAAGCCATGTCGAATGTATATACTCGCAGTTATATAGAAAATGCTGAAAATATGTCAGAATTATTTGGGGACCCCAACCAGAATTTAAAAAATAAAAAAACCTTAACAAAAGTAATTTCCCCATTAACGTCAGCAATTAATTCCAAATGGTCTTTACATTTTAACAATTTAAAATTTTCCTTTTTTGGCAAAATTTGTTCAATAAATTCTTCAATTAGAGGAAATTGTTCAATTAATTTAGCACGAATTGATTTCTTAAAAAAATTAAAAAAATTTTTTTTAATTAAATTATACCTGAACAGATCCTTTAAGTTGTTGACTTCCAATAACATCCTCTCCTGAATCAAATTTTTTAAACATTTTAAATAATTATTTTTTTATCAAATTCTGCTCTAGAAATAAAAAATTATTAATAAAAAATTTTAGTTCAGTGAGTGGTATAAATCTAATCAAAAAATCAAGACTCTAATGTTCTCTTTGTGGGTTCGGAAAAAGAAAATGAAGAAAAAATATAGAACAAGATGAACAGAAAAAAGAAAAAGATTAAATAAACGCACGGCCATAAAAACGCAAAGCCATAACTAGCTGAAAAATTTCTGGCTCTTATCAATTTTGGTACCAATTTCTTTAGCTCGATGAGAGGAATCGTTTTAACTAAATTTGGAAAGATTCGGATATATTGAAGCAAGCTATGGCTTTGCGTTGTTATGGCCGGGCGTTGTTTTGGGCGTGTCCCATTAAATTTAGGGAATTATTTTCTTTTTTTATTTTTTTAATGATGCAATATTGCAATTTTTTCTTTTAATTTTATTTTTTTAGAATTTAAAAATGACTTCTTCTTCAACTCAACAAAATCTTTCTTTTGGTACTTATCCAATTATGCAATCAAAAGAAAAACATGAAGACATTAAATTTATTAATATACAAGATATTGGGGCAGAGTTGGATGGAGAAGAGGTTTTCTTTTTGGAATTTTTTCTTTTAAATTTTTAAGTAAATTTTTTTTAAGTTTTGGCTCAGAGCTCGTATTCACGATAGTAGAGGAAAAGGCAAAAATTGTTTTATTTGTTTACGTCAACGTATTTATAGTGTTCAAGGGGTTTTATTTGTTGGGGGAGAAATTACTAAAGAATTTGTTAAATTTGCTCAAAATATTTCGAAAGTATTTTTTTAACTTATTAATTAATATTTTGAAGAATATTTAAACCCAAAAGTTTGTTAATAAAAGTTAAATGAAAACTTTGGGGGTTGTGGGCTAGTTTTTAATTTAATTTTTAAAGTATTCCTCAAGTGCGTATCTAGGGGCTGAGGGAGGACTAGAAATGGGGGAAAAATTGGAAGAATTATGATCGAAAAAGTGAAATTTTTTCGCTTACAGCCTTCAAAAAAGTTGCGTTCGTAACGCCATGGCAAATGTTAAAATGTTTGCGCACACCCCATGTTAATGCGCACACCCCCCTAATTCGACCTCTGGATACGCCCTTGGTATCCCTAATTATTTTTAACTTTTCTGATTTCTTATTAACTTTTGGATATACAATTTAACATTTTTGACTCGTTTCCTCATTTATTTTTATAATTTTGCAGGAATCATTAGTTGATGTTTTTGGACAAATTACAAAAACGCCTTCACCAGTCTCGAGTTGTACTCAAAGCGATGTTGAAATTAAAATTCAAAAATTATTTATTGTTTCTGCTTCTGAGCCAAGATTGCCTTTACAAATGGATGATGCTACTAGACCTGATATTGGAGAAGAAACTGGGGGGTTGGCTGTTGTTAAATTGGATACTCGATTGGATAATAGGTTTGTTTCTGTTAAAGTTTTTTGGTACTCCTGCAGTTTAAGGGGCCACCTTTCTCTGACTATAATTTTGGCACCAAATTCTAATTGACCCACATTAATTTTGTGAAAAATGAATGTTAGTTAATGAGTAAAAAAACATAAATTTTGATTGATAGGAAAGAGAACACTGGTCTCATAATGGTCAGAGAACTGCGGCCCCCTTAAACATCAGGAGTGCCGTTTTTAGGATTAAATAAATAAGATTAATTTCTTTATAAAAATCAGAAAATATTTTCTCCTATCCTTGTTATTTTTTAATTTTAAAATAATCCTTTCCTCAACTTTTTAGAGTTCTTGACTTACGTACACCAACTAGCCAAGCTATATTTAAACTTCAAGCTGCTATTTGTGAAGGATTTCGTTTTAATCTTAACAAAAGAGGATTTATTGAAATACATACTCCAAAAATAATTTCAGCTGCTAGTGAGGGAGGAGCTAATGTTTTTGAGGTTTTTTTAGTTATTTTTGTTATGGATTCCTTCTCTCTTTTTCAAGGTTAGCTACTTTAAAGGTTCTGCTTATTTAGCCCAATCACCACAACTTTACAAACAAATGGCTATTGCCGCAGATTTTGATAAAGTTTATACAATTGGGGCTGTTTTTAGAGCTGAAGATAGTAATACACACAGACATATGACTGAATTTGTTGGTTTAGACTTGGAAATGGCTTTTAAATTTCATTATCATGAGGTTATCTTTAATTATGTTTTTGGATTTTTTAAATAGGGAGCATTAAAATAAGGACGGAAAATTCCAAAAGTGCTTCAAATATGCATTAATTTTGTAAAATTTACCTAAATATGTACTAGATATTAGAGTTTCACCGGAAGTTCCGGTTCCGGTTCCGGAAAGTTCCGGTGTTTTTTTGGTTCCGGTTCCGGGAACCGGAACTCAAATTGGATCCGGTTCCGGCTCCGGTTTTCAAATTGGTTCCGGCCAAACCGGAACTTTTACACCCCTAAGGATTAGTTTTTTTAAAAAAATATTAATAAAATACTCGTACTCTCATAGTTGTAATAAAAAAAATCAAAAGAAATATGTTTATTTTCTTTCAGTTGCCTTCTGATGAGCGGGTGTCCGAGTGGTTAAGGGTTTGGGCTTCACTCAAGTTGTTAATGATTTTAGGTTGGGTTCGCTTCCCTATTGTAGGACAATAAATATTCAAATTTTTTTTTAAAAAATAACTCATTTCATGAATTTAACTTTGTTTTAAAAATTATTTTATTTTTACATGGAGTAATTACGGTTTTTTGGCCCTCTAAAATTTTTCGTATGACTAATAAATGACGAATTTTTTTGCTCACAGCCTTCAGAAATTTTCAAAATTCTCGCCCGCGGCGCTGAAAAGGGAAAAAATTTAGCTTCTTATCTTCAAATATTCTCAAAATTTTCGCCTGCGGCGCTGAAAAAGAAAGTTGAATGGTATAACGGATGATTTGGATGGATCAATGTGGATTACCACCAATTACCACCACTTATGGATTACTACCACTTATACCAACAAATCCGTTCATACACCACTCTCTAACCCAAATATACATATCACTTATCGCCGACAAATTTTCGGTTCGGTTTTGGTTAATTAAAAGTCTTGGTTTGGTTCGGTTTCGGTTAACCGAAGAAGTTGGTGAACAGACAACCCTACTTAAACTACAAATTTTTTTAAAATTTGCTAGCAAAATTTTTTTCAAAAGTTCCGGTTCCGGTTCCGGGCCGGAACTTTGAAAAGTTCCGGTTCCGGTTCCGGAAACCGGAACTCAAATTGGATCCGGTTCCGGTTCCGGTCAAAATTTCGGTTCCGGTGAAACACTACTAGATATGCAACTAAACATTGGTGAAATTATTTTATTTTTTTAATTTTTATATTCGGGGTTTGCTCAATTTTATTAAACTTTACCGTTTTGAATTCTAAAAAATTTAAAATACTTTTTTAAGGCAATGCTTACAGTTGCAGAATTAATGTGTGAAATATTTGCACATCTTCAAAAAAATTTCCAACCAGAAATTGAAGCTGTTCGTAAACAATATCCAAGCGAGCCGTTTATTTTTACTGAAAAACCTTTAATAATTCAGTAAATTTTTTGAATTAAAAAATATATTTAAATTATTTTTTAGATATTCACAGGCTGTTTCAATGCTTAGAGAGGCTGGTGTTGAACAGGGAGATGAAGAGGTTATTTTTAAATTAAAATTGGGTTGTTTTTATATTGGGTTTGTCTAGTTGAGGGATCTTTTAAAGGACGTAACCAGGGTAGAACTTCAGGTTGAAGAATGAGCTGGAGTGTTCACCCCCCACTCTCACCCTGCTATTTTGTGGAAATAACGGGTCAAATGGACAATGAAATTAAATAGAGTCTTGGGAATTAATGATAAGACTTGAAAATCGGCGGGGTTTTTCATCTATTCAAAACCAGAAATATTCAAACTTTTCTAAAGATTTTTATTTTTTAAAGGATTTGAGTACTCCAAACGAAAAACTTCTCGGCCGTTTAGTCCGTGAATGTTATTCCACTGACTTTTATGTTCTTGACAAATTCCCACTTGCGGTTAGACCATTTTATACAATGCCTGATCCTTTGGATGAACGTTATTCAAATAGTTATGATATGTTTATGAGAGGTATTTTTTTAATAGAGAATTTATTTTGATTTTTTGTGTTCATCTCAATTTTATTAAATTTAAGTCCTAACCTATTTTTATAATTTCCTATTTTTTTGTAGGAGAAGAAATTCTTTCTGGTGCCCAACGTGTTCATGATCCAATATTACTCACTGAACGTGCAAAAATACATAATATTGATTTGGAAAAGATTCGTGCTTATATCGATGCATTTAAATATGGATGTCCTCCACATGCTGGTGGTGGAATTGGTAAAGAATTCTAAAAAATTTTAAAAATAATTTCTAATTTAATTTTAAAAAGGTTTGGAACGTGTAACAATGCTTTTCCTTGGTTTAGGCAATATTCGACTTGCTTCGTTATTTCCACGTGACCCTAAACGAATTACTCCATAGAAATTGTTTCCCTGTTATTTTTAATAGTTTTAAGAGAATGGAATGACTTTTTAAATTGTTTTTTTAAATGTTTATTGGAAGTAAAGTTTTTGTTTTTAATCTTCTGCTAACAGTTTCTTCATTGGAAAAGGATAAAAGGGAAGATAAAATATTATTAATCTTTCATCACAAATAAATAAAATTCCTTTAATTTTCTTATCTATTTATTAAAGACGTTTGTGTAAATAAAAGGAAACAACAATTTTTATTTTATATTTTTCACAAAAGTAATAATTTATCAATAAGAAAATAATTTTAAATATAGAGAAAATGTCACAGAATTCAATCCAACTTTGAAATTTAAAAAAAACATTGAATTTTTTTATATATTTTTCCTGAAAATACATTTTCCCGTATATATATAAATTTATTAATTAAAAAACATATACATACTTATGACTGGACAAATTAATAAAACTTTAAATAAAATAATCTCAGCAAAGTCACATCCGTTGCTTATTGGAATGATTCATTTACCTGCTTTGCCTGGGTTTCTATTTTATTTAAATTTAATTTGAATTACATATGCCTAAAATTAAAGCATTTAAATTATAATTTAATTGAGAATTAGTAGATAATATTAAAATTAGATTGGTCTTAATTGTGAATGTTTAGCTTGCCCCCAAAATTCTTTTGTATTGTTATTACAAAAGGACCTTGCCAATTATGTAAAATAAAATCTCTTTAAATCTCGCGCGATTAATTTGATTTTTTTGGTTAGCCGACAAAAAAAGAGAAAAAATAACTAAATATTGTTTATACAGAAGAGAGCCCATCCATTAAATAATACCTAAATATATTTATAATTATCATTTAAGAACCCCAAAACATGTTATGCCTGTTGAGCAAATTGTTGAAAAAGTTCAAAAAGAAACAGAAATTTATTTAAAAAGTGAATTGGTATTTAAATAAAAATAAATTTAAATAACAAAAATAATTATTTAAAAGGATGGAATAATTATTGAAAATATGCATGATTTGCCCTATCAAAAATTTGATGAAAATATTGGACCTGAAATTTGTTCTTGGATGACTAAATCTTGTTTAGAATGTTTAAATATTTTGGCAAATAAAAGAAATAAATTTTTGTTGGGAATTCAGGTTTTGGCTGGGGCTAATAAAACAGCTATAGCTGTGGCACATGCTTCGGGTGAGTGTAAAATAGATAAAGAGATAAGCTCCTCTCTATTTTTTGACAGAAATGTAAGGATAACCCACCTAGCAGCATTTAAAACGCATAGGCTGAGGTTAAACGATCTTATAGGGAAAAAAGAGGATTAGTCGATGTCCAAGTAGATCAGTTGTAGAGCTCTTGTATGTGGTGGGCGGAAGCACCTAGCAATAACTACGAGGAGGTTGCAGGTGGCTAAACTTTGCTAAACTCTTTCTAACACAATTAAAGAGAATTATTTAAAAATAAAAAAGAATTAAATAATTTAAAAGTTTATAAGGATGGCGAAATTTCCTTTTAGCTTACTTTGTTATTAAATAAAGGAAAATTGAAGCAACTGAACCTTGTAGTTAGATTAACCTTCAGAATCAATCCCCCTTCATAATCTTTTTTTTCTGTTAATAACTTTAAATTAGGATTTAATTTTATTCGAGCCGAATCATTCGTTTTTGGACATTTAGCCGATGAGGGTTGGATGGATGGATGTGCAGGGAATTTACTTAGATATAGAAAAATGATTGGGGCAGAGGATATTGGAATTATTGTTGATATTAAGAAAAAACATTGGTTACTATTAAATAATTTAAAAAATTTTATTTTTTTAAATTAAAGTTCTCATTCAATAACAAAAGATATTAATATTGCACAGACTGCTAATGCTGCTGAATTTTTTCTAGCAGATGGAATTATCTTAACGGGAAATTCGACTGGACAAGAAGCTTCTGTTTTAGACTTGGAAGGTTTAAAATAAATTCTCTTGAGAATAAGGGGCATGTATGTAGAAATAGGTCCCCTAGTTCCTTTCAACCACAAAATTTTTTAAATAAAAAATTTTTTTGTGTAATTCCAAAATATTTCTTTAGATGTCAACAAAGAATGTCCATCTTTACCAATTTTTATTGGCTCTGGAATTGACGAAAATAATATTAATAAATTTAAAAATGCTGATGGGTTTATTGTTGGTTCTTATTTTAAAAGAGGGGGTTATTGGGGGAATGAAATTGATTCTGAAAAAGTTTTGAAATTAAATGAAAAAGTGAAAAAAATAAAAAGAAATGAGGAAAAAATATTTTAAAATAATTATTTTAAATTTGATAAACAAACAATTTTGTTTTGTTAAATATTTTTGCCTTACAAAATTAAAAGATTAAATACAAAATATATTGTCGAAAACAAATTTTCGTAAACTTTTTTTTCCTTTTTTCATAAAAACAAAGAAAATATGTATATTGGACCTGAAATTTGTTCTTGGATGACTAAGTTTCCTTTTAGCTTACTCATTATTTTTATATGTATTTTCAAGTACTTTTATTAAAAAAATTAAAAAAATAAAAATATTTAATTATTTTAGTGGAACGAAATAAAGGGAAAAAATTATTTTATTTCTACGTAATTTAATTAAATATTTTTCATAAATTAAAAAAAAAAGAGAATTTCTTAGAATTAATTATTTTATTTCCCACAAAAAACCCTAGCAACAAAAAATTATTTTATTTAACTACCTAACTCATTCTATTATTTACTAAGACTCTCCGTTTTCTTAAGAACCGAACGGAAAACCAAATAAATCTTTAAATATAAACAGAAATAACTGAGGATTATTCTGCTATCCAGAAAATGGACGGGTTTTTTACTTCTTTGCCTACCCAAAAATCAAAAAAAAGTTTTCGACTGAGATGATTCTTAATTTACATTTATTTCAGAAAAAGTTTGCAAAAGTTTAGCCACCGAGCTAAACTTTTGCTAGGCGCCGTTATTGCTAGGCGCTTTCGCTCAAAATATACAGGAGCTCTACCACTGAGCTACCAGGGCATCAACTCATGTCTCTTTTATCCTTTTAGATCGTTTAACCCCCGCCTAAGCGTTTTAAATGCTGCTAGGTGAATCATCCTTGCATTTCTAATTAAATAAAAAAAATCGTAGACTTTCCCTTAAAGATTAGTCATACAAAAGTAAAGTTTAGAAAAATAATTTAATAATACATACTACAACCTACAAAGAATAATCGTAAATTATTTTATTTGTTTCTCACAAAAACAACCTTCGCAACAAACAAAATGTTTCCTCCTTATTTTTAAAAATTATTCTCTTAAAATAATTTTTTGATAAAAATACTTAAATTTATACGACAATTAAAATAATATTTTTAAAATTATTATTTTTTTAATTTCCAATTTATTAAAAACTTTTCCATTAATCAAAATAAAAAAATCACGTCATACAAATAAATGTTTATAAAAAACAAGATTAATATATATCAAAAACCAATTTTCTAATCACATTTATTTAAGTATTTAAAAATAGGTAGTTTAATAAAAATTATAGTAAACAGGTTTTTTCCTTGTAAATTTTATTTAAAAATATATTCTATTAAAAATTAACCTTTATTAAATTAACCCTTACTAATAAAACAATTATTTAAAACAGTATTTACTTAAATATTTATTAACGTTAACAACAAAAATTTCAAATAATTTGTATTTTTTAAAAATTAATTTCCAAGTTTTGTTCCACTTTTTTAAAACCTCCCCTTTTTAGTCGTATAGGAATGTGCGGCAAAACCCTTAGTACACTTGCACTAAACGCAAACTTTTCAAATTTTTAAAACACGCCAAATGCCAAGAATAACGATAAAACGCCACAACAAAACAGGGTCAGCTAGGCGCGCGGCCATAACAGCGCAAAGCCATAACTTGCTTCAAGATTTTCGAATCTTATCAAATTTAGCATAAAACGATTCCTCCCATCGAGCTAAAGACTTTGGTACCAAAATTGATAAGGGCCAGAGATTTTCCCTCAAGTTATGGCTTTGCGCCTTTATGGCCTCGCGCCTATTTGGGCGTGTCCCGGAAAAACATCATATCCTTTTCATGGGACACTTACGACTAGTCGCGGGCCAACTAGTCGCGACCGATTAGTCGCCGGCCGATTAGTCGCGCGGCCAACTAGTCGCCGGCCGATTAGTCGCCAAGCTTTTAAATTAAATATTCATATTTGTGACCGGCAAAATTATTTTTCCGGGCCCGGAAATCGGATTTTGAATTCGAAACTCATGCCGGACCAGATCCTGCCGGATTTTCAGGATCAATCCGGTCCGGTTTTATTCCGGTAAAAATAAATTTCGGAACAATTTTTAGAAAACAATAATAATTTATCATTTCAGCGCCGCGGGCGAAAATTTTTAAACTTATTGTTAGATGATCCTTGAGCCTAAATTCCTCCTTCTTTCAACGCCGCAGGCAAAATTTTAGAATTTTTTGAAGGAACATAGGCCAAATTCCCTCTATTTCTGCTAAAAAGTCCATCCTTAGGGGTATATATTTGGCCTATTCCCTTGGCGAGATTCATGGCGAGGACACTTCCTTTATCCTTTTATCACATAACTGAATCCGTTATGGGACATTAACATTTTAAAAAGCTTAATCAGTTGTACATATTTACAAAATATTTAATTAAAAAGCTTGGCGACTAATCGGCCGGCGACTAGTCGGCCGCGACTAATCGGTCGCGACTAGTTGGCCCGCGACTAGTTGGGCTGTACCCCCTTTTCATTTCTTCATTATTTTTTCTTTTAATATCATCTAAAATTTTATTTTCAATTAAAATATTTGCCTAGCTGAATTTTTCAATTTTAGAATTAAAAACAATCTGAAATATTTATTAAATTATTTTACTCGAAGTATAATGACTGACGTTACTCCAAAAAGTTTTGTAGACAGTCTTATTAAGGTTTTCTTATTTTTAAAATTTTTTAAAAATTATTTTTAGACAAACAAAGTTGTTGTTTTCTCAAAGTCTTATTGCCCATATTGGTATTTTTTTAAATAAATTAGTGAGGGTTATGGTAAGGAATTGACCTTTTTTGTAATGATTAATTGTTACAAAAAAAGAAATTTTTGGTTATTCTTTCCCCCAAACAGTTCGTGTCGGGTTAACTCACGGAACGGACAAGTTACGGAATTACCAAATCACGGAATAATTTAAAAATAGAAATTTTTTGAAAAATCTGAATAATTTAAAAATAAGATTTTTTATGAAATTAAAATATTTTAAAAAACAGAATTTAAAAAAATAATCTATGATTTCTAAAAATATTCTGATTTTTAAAATATTCCGTGTTTAGGTCATTCCTTGAGTTGGTCGTTACGTGAGTTGTTAATTCCGTGGCTTGTCCACTCCGCGACCTGTCTGTTCTGTGAGTTGGAATTCCTCGAGTTAGCTCTCACCCAAACAGTTTCTTTTGCCTTTTTTTACTAATTTAAGATGGATTTGTAATTTAAGAGGAAAAATGTTGGGAGAAATAACCGAAAAGTAACAAACTTCCTAAACATCAACTCATAATAAAATTATTTTAAACATTTTCCAGTACAAAAGCAAAGGAAGCATTAACTACTTTTAGTCTTGTACCTGGCACAATGGAAGTTGTTGAAATTGAAGATAGAGGTTTGTTTTAAATATATTTTTGTTTAATTAATTTTTTAGGAGATTGCGATAAAATTCAGGATTATCTTAAAGAAATTACTGGACAACGGTAATTTAGAAAAAAGAGGGAGGATTAGAAAATAAAAATTCTTTTTCAAGTTCTGTTCCACGCGTTTTCATTGGCGGGAAATTTTTTGGTGGCGGAGATGATACGGCAGCTGCGGCTAAATCGGGAAAGTTGGAAGCTGAATTGCGAGCTGTTAATGCTATTGCTTGAAGGAAAAGAGAAAGGAAAAATGTTTTGATTTTTTAAATTAAAAAGAAAATTAAAATGCCAATTTACTTCTTTTAATACAACTATTATTTTAAAATGATTTTAGGTAAATTTTTTAAAAATTTGGTCTATACATAGTTGATCTTACTAGAGAGGTGATTGAAAAATCAAATAACCCTTTAAGTAGTAAACACACTTAAAATTAAATAAAAAAAAGATACTCGTGTAGGTAAACCTTAATTTCTTTATTAGACAGATTTAATCAGTAAAAGCATTCAGCCAATTAATTTTCGGACACAATTAAAAATTAATTTAAACCTAAAAACAATTTTTCCATTAAAGATTGAATCCAAGTTTTTTAAATAATCTATCCATTTCTTTCTCACTCTTCTTAAAAATTGGGGGAGTTGCATCTTGTTTTCGACGTAATTCTTGTTCCTCTTCCGGCGTTAAAGATCTTTAAAAAATTAATTAATAATAATAATCCACCCCCCCCTTTTTTTCTAAAAAAGTCTCCTCTAGTGAAAGATCATTATTATTTTTCTTACTCTTTAAGGTGCATTAATTTAGAAGGATTACCACCCCCTAACAATGCCTTCTGCCTCCCTTTTATAAAAATTAAAAACCAACTTTTCAAAGGTTGAACTAGATGGGAATAAACCATCAAACTTCAATTCAACATATTTCCAAACTTCTAAAAAAATAAAAATTATTGAGGGATTTATTCAAAGAATATTCTCTATAACAAAACACCAATATTTTCCTACATCTTTTTCTATAGTAATAATTATTTTAAAAAAATTTTTTAAACATACTTGCATACCAGGAAAGAGGATTATAATCTTTTTGTGCTTTAAAATAAAGAATTGTTGGCATTATACCAAGAAATAAGAAAATCATAGGTCCTCCAAAGGATGGAGGCAATTTTTTAAGTGCTGGGAATCGAATAGCGCTTTCTTCTTTCCAAATAACATGTCCACCTTTTCTTACAAGTCCGAATAATGGTTTTGATAAAATTGGCATATTTCTCTTAAAATCAAAAAATATAGACAAATAATATCCACAAAATCCTGAAATTTCTTAAATTTAAAATTAGGGTTTTTGGCTACGGGCGAAGGAAACGTTAAAATTCCAAATAAACAGAATTTTATTAAATGGTAGGTGTTTCGGACTTCCTCTTTAAAAGAAAAATCTGCGTCCCTAAACCCCACAGACAATAGAATAAGAATTTAAATGTAGTAAAATTAGCTACATAGAAATTTAAATATTCTGTAAGTATACATATATATTACGTTTAATATTTCAAAAAATTTTTGTAGTAAATTGGAAAAAAATTAAAAATACGGCATTTATTTAACGACAATTAAATTAATCATTTGTTCCTTCACATTCCCCTTCTTCGGCAAATTCTAAAGTTTTAACTTCCATTCGTTCAGGGCTTGAATCTTCATCTATTTCTTCTTTTAATTTGGCTTCATTACAAGTTTTGATTTTTGCTAATATATCTGAAAATATTTTGATTTAATTTGGCGTTCTTTAAGGAAGGGCCAGAAATAATTAAAAACACCATTTAAATTAAAAAACAACCTCTAGCCACATTAAAAACCCCATCAGTCTTTTCACCACATACAGCACATTTTTTAGATTTTTGATAATGTTGGAGTGCACAAACTTCACAAAAATAATGCTTACATCTTTAAATAATAATTAAAAATTAAATTTAAAATTAAAAAAAAATTTTACTTTGTAACAACTGGCTGTTTAAAATTTTCTCTACAAATATAACAACTATGAGGCAATTTATCCTGTTCTGTATCACTTTCTTCACTGCTAACCAAAAATTCATCATCTTTTGATTCTTTTAATTTCCCTTCCTCCCAATCTCTTTCAATTTCCCATCCATGTTTATAATCTGTTCTGTCGTGCATAAATTTACAAGAGTCTAGAAAAGAAAAAAATAGAAGAGAAATTTTGAAATACAATAAATCCATTAATTTTAATCAAAGGGGTCTTTAATTTGAACTTTATCTAAAATACGAGGGTCGATGGAAATCAAATAAAAACATCGCCCCATCCTCCCATCTCAAAGACTGTGAAAAATAAAAAGTAAACCTCCAAAAGTGCAATATCCCGTCTCTTTGTAATCTTTGCAAATATCCGGAGCATAATCCCAACGGACACTAGCCCTCATATATTGTGTTGCACGTATTGGTCCCATTCTGTTTAGTCCACTCGAAGCATTTCCTTTGACGGTGTCTTCCTTCTCTTTTGCCCCGTAAAGTGCTAATCCTTGGTAAATTTTTGGTTGTTCCTGAAAATTACAAAAATATGAAAATCATTCAATATAATATTTTGTAACCTTTGAAGTCCCAGCTTCTTGTAGTCTGCTGGGTCTTTTAGCTCTCTCTCCATACTTTTTCCGTTCTTCTTCTTCAATAGCCAAATTTTTTTCCATTTCCAATCGTTTATTTTTCAATATTTTTTGAACACGTTCAAATTGCGATTGTGCATCCATTGTATGATCTGTATCTATTTCTGTTCTAGCAGTTGCACCCATGTCATTTGGAACTGTTTGATTTACTCCACTTGATGAAAACTAGAAAAATTATTTTAAAAACAAAGGCTCTTTTGTGTAATGTATCCAAAAGTCGGTAAAATATGCAAATCATGTTTATTTTCTCTTTTCAATTATAAGGAAGGAGGTATTCCTTTTATCTGCCTATCAAAATGAAATAAGGGAAAGAAAAGTTGGAAGATAATATTTTAAAAATTATTCCATTTCTGGGTTTAATTTTTAAAAGGATTACTCGAAAAGAAAGTAAAAAAAGAAATCAAGACAGTTCCCTTTTTTCTACTCCTTATTGGATGCATAGAAAAGAACATAAACAAATTTTAATGTTAACAACCTTCACATCATGATCAAATTTAACCAAGTCTTCATTAGAATCAGTTCCACTAGATTCCTCAAAATCCTCTGTTCGGCGTTTTTTGATGCTCTAAATAAAATTATAAAATATTCATTAACATCAAGATGCGAAGAGCGTGATACCATTTAAGTTGCCATTTACTTGTTAATTCAAACTTTTTTCAACAGTTAGGTACATATTTTAAGCTTTTGGATGTTAGTAGGTATTTCAAGCTTATGATCTAGGTATTTTAAGATAACACCAAATAATATAAAAAAAATAAAAAAAAAAGAAAACAAACCGTCTGCATCCGATTATTTCGCATTTTCCTCTTTTCAGTTATTTTAAGTCTAATTTTCTCAGCTCCAGTTGATTCACCCGAAGCAGAAGAATCATCACTTTCTTCTTTATTAGAATTATCTTCATCAATTTTATTTAAATCTTCTTTCTCAATTTGTCGTTGTCGAATAGAATTTTGAGGTTTTTGTCGTCGAAAGAATGGAACCCTTGTTGACGAGCCAGAAATTGAAGAGTTTGATTCAATTGGCATAATAGTAGAAATTTCTAAGAAAATCTAAAAAATAAAAAAATAATGAGATCACAGTGTTTACCTAGAACTTTTTGAAATTAAAATAAATTATTCGACAGAATATCAAACTTAAATTTAGGAGAAAAACTGACTGAAAACTAGGAATATCCTTACATATTCCTAAATTTTTAAAATTGTCAGCAAGTAAATATTTGTGGTGAACAATGTTTAAAAATATATTAACTGGGAAGGTTGCGAGGTGTCCGAGCTAAAAACGGTCGAGACCGGGCTCATTCGATAGAGAATATGCCCTTTGTAGCAAGGATTTTTTGCCGTTTTTGCCCGTTTTTTGATCTGGCCAAGATATGGCCCATCAAAGTCCCAAAATTTGGCATATTTTCCCTTCTTTAAATATAAACTTTAAATAATGCACTAATTTTGTTGGCGCTGTGGTGTAGTGGTGAGTGTGCTTGCATTACACTTTTTCTCTAAAAAGTTCGAGTCTTTTCGGGTTTTATTTTTTCTATCTAATTGTTTTAAACATTATTTATTTCTTTTTTAACATAAAAAAATTTTTTTGTAAATTTTTTTAATTTTTTAAAAATTTTTTTTCGAAAAAAAATTTTTTTTTGACTTTATCCTAACGATTAATGGGTGGAGAGGAGAAGATTCCCCGGGAAAATTCGATCATCCGATCCGTTATTGTTTTACATTATCGTCCACTTTTGAATGTAATACATCTAATTGTTTTATTCGACGTGTCAGGTGTAGCAAATTCTAGTTTTATAGCAAATAAATTTTTTTAATTTTTAAAAATTTAAAAATAAGAAATAATTTTTTCAAAAAAATTTTTTTCATTAAAAAATTTTTAAAAAATTAAAAAAATTTACAAAAAAATTTTTTTGTTAAAAAAGAAATAAATAATGTTTAAAACAATTAGATAGAAAAAATAAAACCCGAAAAGACTCGAACTTTTTAGAGAAAAAGTGTAATGCAAGCACACTCACCACTACACCACAGCGCCAACAAAATTAGTGCATTATTTAAAGTTTATATTTAAAGAAGGGAAAATATGCCAAATTTTGGGACTTTGATGGGCCATATCTTGGCCAGATCAAAAAACGGGCAAAAACGGCAAAAAATCCTTGCTACAAAGGGCATATTCTCTATCGAATGAGCCCGGTCTCGACCGTTTTTAGCTCGGACACCTCGCAACCTTCCCTAGTAAAAATATAATTTTTAGAAATTATTTAAATTAAAAAAAAATCAAAAATAATTTTTTTATTTTAAATTAACAAAGGAGGGAAACAACAACAAAGCCAAAAAGGGAAGAAAATTTTTTTAACTCAAATATCGTCAAGTGGAAATTTTGCTTTTGTTAAATCCACATGTTTCCTTTTTGAAATGGCAGAATCCGTCATATAATGAAGTGGATTTTTAAAGTAATATTTACGGGTATCATCATTTTCTTTCCAACGGCCTCTTATTTCATTCCAAAGTTCGGAAAATTTTGGCGCTTCAATTCCTTTTTCGTTGAGAGAAGTTAATTCCTTAATTTTTTTGGTAAAGTAATTTTTATTTAAAATAATTTAAACCTTATTAAAGAATCGTTTAATTGCAAAAATAGCAACCAAATTCCAAACAAGTAATTGAGTACAAAATTTTACAAAAGTTCCCTTGTTGGCTAGCTAAATGAAAAAGAAAATTCTTTTAAAAATTTTGAAGTCTAATTAGAATTTTTGCAATCCAAATATAAGTTTAAATTTCTTCGAACATTTTTCTCTCAACAATAAAAAATATTAAAAAACAAAACTAACATCCTGATAAGTCTGATTTGGATGATAAAAAAGTTGTCGTTTCCAACTCCGAAATCGGCGCCGTAATTCATAATAAGTGTAAAAATATTGACGGATAAACATTTGAATTTTGTAAAATAAATAAAAGTTAACTGAAAATTTATGAAAAATAAAATTTTAAATAAAAACCTTTCAAAATCTATCAAACAATAAAAGTAACAATTTCCAAAATCTCAATAGTTGGGCGTTTCTGTCTGCGTTGGCAACAATCCAAAGCGCTTCTTAATTATCAAGCGATACTTTGAGAATTTGTCTTCAGGTGAAAAGCGAGCTGGATGAGCAGAAAATGTGTTGTTACCGTTAACTGGATCTTGCTTCTGAAAATAAAAATTTTTTGCAAATTAATGTAGGTATAAAGTAAATAAATCGAAAATGTCTAAGGAATTTCAAACCCCTGATAAAATATATTAAAATAAATAACGCAAAATATTCTTAAAAATATCCAAGACAAAATAGAAAAATCAAAGCGTTATCTGCAGCGATACTTTTTGAAATGGATGTTAAGAATGCCAAAGGATCACACCATGACAGAACATTACTTATATTAAATAAGTATAAATAAAATAAACCTTAAGTGTATAAACTCGATTTCCTTGTGCGTCCAAATAATACTTCAAATACATTGAAGACACAAACCAAATTCTAAATAAATTTTTGTTTTAAATTTATTCAATCTTAATTTAAAACATATTTATTTAAATAAAGAAAAGTATTTAAAGAACAATAAAACTTTAAAATTGAAAAAAAAATTTTATTAAAAATAATTTATTTATTTAAAAATATAAACAAGAGAAAGGTTATTAGAGATCACAATAATGGTAAAGATTTCTCAAACCTCTCAATCACAATTTTCATTGAAGCATCGAATTTTTCAGCTCTAATTGGCATGTCAATTGAATAGAAAGGATTTCTAAAATGACAAAATCTTTTCTGATATTATTTAAATAGGCAATATGGTACTTGTGGGTTATCTCATACCAGTTTTTGCGGACAAATTTATGCAAACATTTTTGTAAAGAATGGTCAGTCTTTCTTTCTTCCTCGGTTTCACTCAATTTTCTCTGTGGCAATATTCAATGAGAAACAGATCAACAATTTTTCCCTCTCTTATTCAATAAAACACATCAACAAAGAAAATTTCCTTCCCTATTGTGAATAAAATTAACCACCCAACATCGGCATGGGTTCTAAAATACAGAGCTGGGTGGGTACGTTTTTAGACATTTTGACCCCTGTAATTCAGAGTTGTCCTCACTCTCTTAATTATTAAAGTTACATTAGAAAGAAAAACTAATATGTATTTTCCTCGTTGTGTCACTCATTGAATATTGCCACAGAAAATTGAGTGAAACCGAGGAAGAAAGAAAGACTGACGATTCTTCACAAACAAAAATGTCCGCATAAATTTGTCCGCAAAAACTGGTATGAGATAACCCACAAGTACCGGCAATATTTTGGTTTCCTAGGTGTCGGGGAAACCACCGTACCCTCAGCCGGAAATAAAATTTAAAAGGATAAAATTCAATTAAAAACACTCAATCAATTAAGAAATTAAAAAACAAACTTTAATGCATAATCCGCGTAAAGTTCATAAATTTTCCTCAATAAAGATTCAACATTTTGTGTATTTGTATAGGCAGAAATAACAACAAATTTAATGCCAGTAAATGATTGAAAACATTGTAATCTATAAAAATGAGATTTAATTGGGCAGAATTTTAAAATTTCTAAATGAAAAAACAAAACAAAATTTTGAAATAAAGGGATCATTTCGGGACAACCAAAATCATAAAAAAAATAACAAACCTAAATTGACTTGTTTCCAAAACTTCAACTCCACTACTCTTGGCCACAGGACTTAATTGAGAAGCTATTGTATAGAGTGAATGAAAAATACTGGCCAAAATAATCTTCTCATTAGCACTTAAAGGAGCTATTTGTGGATCGACAGAACGGCGATTTTCCCAATCATAAATTAATGAACCAGCACGATTAATAATTAATAGATGATAAACTGTCATTGAATTTTAAAATTATACCTAAAATTATTAGAAAAGGTTGAATTAACAAAAATAATTAAAATCGAAAAACGAAATAAAGAAAAAACAACTAAAAAATAGCCACGAACATTTATTTATACGATAACAAAATGAATATATCCAAAGTCAATCGATTTGGTTCAAAAATATTTTTAAATGATTGTGAAATTTATAAAAGTGGCTGACAATGAGATAATTAAAATATAACAACCAAACAATGTTTTTAATTTTCGTCTCTTCACTTTAAGTTTGTTGTTGACAACATATCCTCATTGCATCGCATCAATAGCCTCGGTCATCTTCTAAATATAGAAAAAATAAAAACTGAAATAAATTTAATGATTCATTGCCAGACTTATAATTATTTCGATGTGCATAGCATAAATTATAAATTTTCATAGAAAAAATCAAAATTTCGAGCTACCATGGGAATAAAAGTATTAATAGTAAAAGGCGAATTTTAAGACTTTTGAGATCTAATAAAAAGTAAAAAACAAAAAGTTAAACAAACCTGATGAAATTCCTCAGCAATGCTAGCATCCTTGAAGCGTGCAGTAAAAGTCTCATCCAAACCACCAACAGCATCCTCAGAAAAATCCTGTGTTTTTAAAATTATTAACTGAATAAAAGTACAAAAAAACTTTGCAAGCCCAAGTATAAACAGTTGGCATTTGTTCACGTTTATGAAGAGACAAATCATGAACAACAGGAAAGTTTGCACAGATCTTAAAAACCTTCTCACGGCGCATTACACAACGGTACTTTTTGGTAGTTGGATTGAAGAGGATCTTTAAAAGAAATTTACTTTATGTCTTTTGACGTTTATTAGTAATATGTTAAAAACCTTAATATCGCCAAGCCCACGTTCCTTGTTCTCTTTTAATTGACGATCATAACGATAAAGCTTGCAGCGAGCAACAAAAGTAACCTCAAAAGGGAAAAATGTAAAATTTGTTTTACTAAAAAACAAATTAAAACCTCTTCGCCTTCCTCCCCACTGACAACTTCAACCTCGGGTGGCAAAGGAACAACGGGCTCATAATGAACATCAGGAGTATAATCCTCAGCAGTCTCATCCTCCTTATCAGATTCGTCACCATCACCACGAGTTTCAGTTTTTGTATGAGGAGTAAAAAACTAAAAAAATAATTTAACAAGGAAAACATCAAAATTTACAACCTTAAAATCTTTTGCAGAAGATCCAGTAGTATTAGATACACTAAATGGCGAAGCGCCAAAAAGAGACTGCTTCGATCCATCAGATGAAATCCCACCATTATTACCGCTTAAGAATCCACCACCAGCTTGTCCAGGCTTTGATTGAGCAGCCTTGGCAGCAAGATTGGCAAAAGTCTATTAACGAAAGAAAATTAATGTTTGGTAAATCTTCAATAAAAGATACGGAAGTATTTTACCAATTTTAGAGTCAATCTAATCCTAACCCCGTATAATGCTTTGATTTATAGGAAAGGATCAGAAAAAAAAAGAAAATTAAAGGGCCTATAATTAATTCAATACATTGGTTCCAGTATTATTTCCACCGCCAAACAAACTTCCACCAAAAGGTACAGTGCCAGTAACCCCAAAAGTTGTATTAGTAGTAGTTGATGACATTGTCGAAGTAACAGTCGGTGTTGTAGTCGTAATCGCCGGAGTATAGGTAACGAAAGTTGGTTTTGTTGTAGTAAAACTGGGCGCCGAATGAATGGTATACGGAGACGTTGTACTCAATGGAGTAGTGGAAGCAACAATCGACGGTGCCGTAGTAATAATTGGAGCGATAGAAGTTATAGATGGCATCGTAGTAGTTGCCTGAATGATAGCAGCAGCTGTCAAAGGAATGGCGACAGGAGCAGCAGCAGGTGCATTGACGACAGGAGCAGTAACAACAGGAGCAGGAGCAGAAGTGGCAAAGCCTCCACCAACAGCTAGAAAAGTTATAGTAGAAAAGTGGTAAATAAAAATGTCAAGACATCTTCATTAAGGTCCTAATAAAAAATCTAAAAGGCAACCTTCTTGCGAAACAAAACTGCCTGTAGATGTTGAAAGCTGAGGAGGTTGAGCAACCACCAATTTCATAAGCATATCCTGAAGTCGACTAACATCTTGAAGATGACGACTTCCCTGTCCAGCAAGTAATTGCTCAGTGTGAGTACGCCACATAGTTGCTTCCTCCTGGAGAGTGCGGTCATTGCGTTGCTGATTCAACTTAATATCCCGAATATCATCACGAAGAGCTTCCTGGAAAATAATTAAGAGTTTCAGTCTAATAATAATATAAGAGTTATCAAAATGATAGCAGTTAGAGGATTCTGTATGACCATGGGATATTCGGACCCCAAAGGTTAATCTTGGCTTCAAGCAGAATTTAGGGATAACAACCCCAGCCCTAAAACAATAGCCCAACGTTAAATTATCTGATCCGAAAATTGTAAATATGAAAATAAACAGGCATATAGGTAACCGAAACAAAGTTATTCTTGACCTAGATTAGTTAAAATAAGAAAGTTCAGCAATCACTAAATCCTTACAATTTTACGATTAATCTCTTGCGTCGAATCAACAATCGTCTTGTAAATAGACAAAATAAGATCATTATTTGTTTGGAGCAAAATTTGCATATTTGCCGAAGCAGACAGATTTGCAGCATCAAACCCAAATCCACCTCCAGGATTGACACCAGCATTTCCACTAGAAGCTCCGTTTGTTAACGTCATTTTGCGATCCATAAAATAAAACTAAAACAATTGCTTTGAAATTTTGAAAAACAAAATTAAATAAACGAAGAAAAAAATTCAATGAAAAAGAAAATGTTTTACACCCTGCAAACTCTCCTTTTTATGTCTTCTCTTTTTTGGGATAGGGTAGAGCCCAAGTAGGCGCGAGGCCATACGGCACAAAGACATAACTTGCTTCACGATATCTGAATCTTGCCAAATTTAGTATTAGACAATTCTTTCCATCGAGCTAAAGAGATTGGTACCAAAATTGATTAGGGCCCGACGTTTTTCAGCAAGTTATGGCTTTGCGCCTTATTGACGCGCGCCGTTTTGGGCTGTATGGCTTCCATTTCGGATTTCGGACGTTTCAAAGCAATGATTTAGGTTGTACGGTACGGGAGGTCACTCTCTCTCCTTTTCTCAAAAACTTTCCTAAAACTAATTTATAAATAATGTTCGAGAGTTTTTACAAATTTATTAAATCATTAATTTCATTTAAAATTCTTTGCCGAACGTAAAGTTACAGCTGCAGCTGTAACTTTTGGAGTATTATTATTTATATTATTTATTATTTCTCTATTTTCTCCTCTATTTTCTTTTGTTTCCAATGCTTCTTCCCCACAACATCGTTGCCAAATCATAAAAAGAAGTGCACAATGAAAGAAGGAAATAATTAAAGAGATTATGTGTATTGGTGTATAAATGTTGAGACCAAAATAAGTATAAATATTCAGAATAAATATGAAGAACTGGGTCTGAAAATTAGGGGGTTAAAGCCAAGAAAATGTTTTTTTTAATTTGGTTGATTTTAAGGGATGGATTCTCTTTTATTTCCGCGTTTCATTTGCCGATTACGGGGTCCTTCCTTGATTTCTGACTTAATTTTCTTGTGTTAAATTTGTCATTTATTTAAGTTTGAAGAACTTCATTTTATATTAGATTTTACTCTAAATTTTAAGCTTCTTAAAGGGAACATCGTTTACTGTCAGTGCGAATTTGATAAACTTTTTTATACCATTCGATAGAGGACCCTAGACTTACTAGTGTGGAGTAATCCGTTTTTTTTTTGCAAAATAACTTTGGGTCGAGCTATGGCCGTTTAAAGTTGGAATGGTACCAAAAAAATGATCAAATTCGCACTGACAGTAAACGATGTTCCTTTGTTAGACCCTTCGTTTTTCAACATATACAATTTTATTTTTAAAATTAAATAATTTTCCAACCAAAATTCGTTGCTCAGCATATTGTTTTTGTTGTGTTAAGGCAAATTGAATGGGAGCAGCTAGAGAACATATAGCAATCCCTAAACAATAAACAGCAAATTCTCTAGCATACATTTCGTGTAATCCAGCAATTAATATTTCGCGGCGGATCTTTAAATATTTTTTTAAAAAATATCTTTTAAAAATTCACAATTGTATTCAATAAAAGTCCAGAAAATGCAAATTGAAAAAATGAATAAAAGAAAAATATTGTAGCATCAATCCAGAAAAATACTCTTTGTGGGCCAAATCCTGGATACCCAAAATCCATCCAACAACGAGTACGGGCACACATTATCTAATTAATAATTCTGATTTTATTTTATTTATTTACACACCTCAATCTCTTCACTAATTGAACGTTTTGAAGAATTAATTAAAAAATAAAATTCCACAATAAGCCAAATCCCATCAACGAGAAAAGAACAAGACAAAAACTAAAAATTAATAATTTTTCGGCTTTTGTCCAGATTATGCGTTCAAGCAACATTACGCGTCCAATGAATATTTACTAGTTCAAACAAATTTTATGTTGTCCATCTAATGCAATAAGTACCCAAATTTATGTTAGAACATGTGGTTCGGTATTGAGCGTCCGATCATAACTCAAGGGTAGCTACGCAAAACCGAATACTTATCGCCATAGATCAGACCCATAAAAATTTGTTTGGAATCAAGAACTTTGCGTGAAATTAACTGAAATTTTTTTGAAAATTTAATTTACATTTTGTGAGACACGTTGCCCTCTAGCTTTTTGTTCATACAATAAATAGGCAGTGAGGAATTTATTAATAAGTAAAAAAGCAGCGACTAAAACTTTCGAGAACTAAAAAAAATTTTTTTTTAATTAATTAAAAATAATTTTGTTAATAATTTAAATATAATTTTAGAAGAGGGATTTTAATTTAATGTAATTAGGTAATATAAATTATTATTCATTTAAAAAATTATTTTTTAGCAAAAAATATTCAAAAATTACCAAAATAACGGGATTTATAGCAATTATAGCATTGTGAGAATTAAAAGAATTTTTATAATGAAAGAATGCAAAACCAAGCTAAAAAAATTTTTTTAAATTAAAGAATTTTAAAATAAAATTTAACATGAAAGGGAGCGGTGTAGCGTTGTAATGTTAAATGTAAATTATCAAAAGAGCCACCAGCAATCTTTTTTTAAATTAAATTATTTTTTATTTAAAATTATTTTTTAATTTGTCAGAAAGTTTGCAAAGTAAAAAAGAAATTTTTTTGATATCTCTTCTCACATAGGGTAAGCTTTGGCCTATCAAACTCGTTCAGATAAGTTTGTGTCTGTTATGAGGGAAAATCTTTCTATCGTGAAATTTTTGATAGTTTTGTAGAATATTCCTAAAAATTATCCTCAGTAATCCCAAGTTCTGTGATGATCTTAAATATCACACCATAAAAGAATAGCTCCTCTGGACTATTTTTTGTAGGGAATTATACATATGCCTTTGGGTTATTTACATGTTATTATTGGTTAGTAAGGTTGTCGTATCCGGATATCCGTAGATTTCAAACTATCCAACAACCTTATCGGTTAGTTTATGTAAATATGTAGAAGGATTTTTAAGTTTTTATATTTCTTTTTAAATTAAAAAAATTTCTTTTCTCTTTTTCGTCTCAATTATTTACCATAGGTCCATGTAGTAATTGTGGCAAAAATAGGAGAATCAAACCAGAAATTAAGTGAAATAATACTCTTGCATGTAAATGCCATCGAAAACCTTTTGTTACAGAAGCAATTAAACAAGCAGCAAGTAGAAGGTGGGGGGTTTGACAAAAAGTACAGGAAGAAAATAAAAAATTAAAAGCCATTTATTGAATGTTAATTAAATCTAAAATTAATTAAAATAAAGCATTTTTTGTTAAATTAAAAAAGAAAAGAGGAAGGAGATTACTCAAAAATATTCAGGAGAATTATTCTAATAATAGGGCCCAAAACAGCAATAGACTACTAACTTTGTTTTTGTTTAAAATTAATTCTTAGTATAAATCGAGATAAATCGTCAAAAGAAACAAAGTAAAAAAATTGGGTTTTAATAATATTTAAATGATAATTTAAACTACAATGGCTAACAAAAACCTTGTTTCGGTCCCTGGTACCCCGCAGCGAAAATGCTTAAATTTTCAATAGAAGTAGAGTATGATCTATCTGTCTATCAAATTTCATCCCGAAGTCCCACGGACACCCCTCCTTTGTAAGGGGACAACATTAATTTTGATTTTAAACAAATTTATAAAATAATTAAAAATTATTTAGGTAAGTTAGGAAATCTAGTTCAAAACTATGTACTTTACTAAAACATAACAAAAATAGTACAATTAAAATTATTATTTTTTGTTTTTCAAATAAATCAAAAATTTGGATTAATTAGTTTAGTTAATATTTTTGACTAATTTTTATTAAATTTTTCTTTATCTTAATTATTATTTAAAATTAAAGATTCATTCAATTCCTTAAAATAATTTATTTCTGTTTATTTGTCCTCACTGACCTAGAAATAAATGCATTTATATTGCAAAAAGCGTAAATAAAAATATATAAAATGCGCAGAAATATACAGCTAAATTCTCTATATTTAAAGCTAAATTATAGAATAGCTTTAACACCAGACATCTGTTCTTATATTTGAACGGAAAAAGAAAAATAAATAAATGGGTGGTAAATAAATTTTAATGACAAAAAAAATTTAAAATAAATTTTAAAAATTTAAGAAAAATATTTTCATTTAAAATTAAATAAATATTACTAAATTTTTTTCGAAAAAAATTTTTTTCTTGAATCTCATATTAAAAAGGATAACTAGATTCGGTTTTGTATATCTGACTTGATCCAATTTATCCAAGTTGCTATAAACCATTGACTGACTTTTTGTCAAACTATATATGAATTAAGCTTCAGAATGATACAGGGAAATTATTTAATTTATTTAATTAATTATCATTACCCAATCTGATCTCAAAAAATATTTACTCAATTTAATAGTTTAGAAATATGTAATAATAAATTTTAAGTAATAATAACTACTTGAAGACTACTTGGAAACGGGTAAAAACTAAAGGACTTATTTTAATTCGAATTAAATTTTAGTTGGTTTTTGTTTTATTTTTATATCTGACTTGCCATATTAAAGATAAAAATCAAATTGAAATAAGCCCATAGATGTTGCAAAAAGGAAATGGAAGGAAGAAGCAAACCCCTAATAACAACATTTTTAGTTTGGAGGTTTGTCTATTGTCCAGTATATGACCACTAGGCATGAAATTTGGCAAAAATAAAGAAAAGAGAATGGGAGGGTTGGCATGAAAAATGGGAGAATTTTGTGTTTAGAGAGTTTTATATGCACAAACAAAGTATAAAAATATTTTTTTGTTTGTGTGGGGTGGAACAAAGTAAGAATATTTAAACTATTAAAAAAATATTTTTCTAATTTTTAAAGTTATTAAAATTTTATTTTATTCCGTTAATAAATAAATATAAAATATTATTAAATGTTTATCTACACCTAAATAATGCTTTAAAATAAAACGAGAACAAAACAAAAGAAAATAAAAACAAAAACCTTTGGGGAATTGTTGCTTTTTAGTTATGGACAAAAAATATACAGAATTTAAAGAATTGGCTATTTAGAATAGAAAAAGTTGACTTGTAAAATATTTAAAAGTTTTTTTGTTTTTAAAAAGGTCGGCAATTTACAAAGGATACATTATTATTTAGAAGATTAATTATAAAGCTTTTAGTATTTTTGAAAAATTTTTAATTTCTTTAATTTACATAAAAGGATAATTATTGGGACAGCCTCTATAATAGGCGAATTTTGACGACGTAAAAGGGAAAGTTATGGAGAGAAAAAGGGAGATGTAATTTTAATGTTTTCAAATGATTGGATCGGGACTAAGTAAAACGAGTAGGGACGGAATTGTCCAAATAGTCGTGGACAAGGATTGGAGTTGAAAAAAACTTTTAACACCGAGGCGAAAATTTTTTAATTGGCCATGAAATCAAAATTTAATTTTTATTCCTCCGTTTCTATTTTTTTATTGTTCTAAAGTACCTAACTATCTTTGATCCTAATGTAAAACATGGAAATTCAATGATAGAATTTTTCTTTTAGGTTTTACAAATTTTATGCCATTAATATCATAACAAAATAATTTTCTTTTTAAATAAAAAAAAGAATCTTCAAAAAAAATAAAATAAAAAATAAAAGAAATGCAACAAATGTAAGGGTAAAATGAAATAAAAAATCCGGTTGTTTACAGCTGTTATGGAACTAGAAAAAAAATAAAGAAAATAAAAAAAGTAGTAAAAAGAGTAATCCAATCTACAAAAAAAAATAAAAAGTAATTCATGGACTCGTTGACAATTGACGATAAATTTATAAAAAAAAATAAATATATTTGCGCGTGATAATTTTTGTATTTATTTTTTAAAAATAGTAAATAAAAAAAATATTTTTTTAATTTAAATATTTTTAATATTATAGCAATTATTTTTTGTGATGATGGGGTCGAAATGTAAAATTGTTTAAAATAAATATGTATATACTTTATTAAAAATATAAAACCTCTGGGATTTATTTAAATTATTTTTAGATTATTTATGTAAAGCATATAGCTATTTAACAGGGGTGTGCGAGTTTCGCGTTTCGCCTTTCGCGGATTTTCGCGTTTTTTGGACTTTCGCGTTTCGCGTGTCGCTTTTTTAAATTTACTTTCGCGTTTCGCATTTCGCGTTTCACTTTTTAAATTTAATTTCGCCTTTCGCGTTTCGCTTTTTAAAATCCGTTTCGGCACACCCCTGCTATTTAATTCCTAAGGCTGTGCAGTAGACGGCGTTGTGTAATGGATAACAACAATCAGTCTGTTCTACTGAAGATCCTGGTTCGCTCCCAATCGCCGATTAACCTTTTGATTTAGCTAAAGGAGAGAAATAGCTATAGACCAGCTTACTTTTAGGAAAAAAACTTATAAATAAATATTTATTTTGAAAATTAATTTTCATTTGACCATTCAAAATATTTCGATATTTGTGTAGTTTCTGATTTCAAATCGCTCTTTACATATACATACACACAAATAATTAATATTTTTAATAAAAATGTTCGAATCCCCAAAAAAACTTTATAAAATAAAAGAAAATAACAAAACATTGCAAAATTAATAAAATAATTGAAAATAATTTTACTTTAAAAATAAAGTTAATTACTTTTTGTGTTCTCTTAAAGAGAAAAACTTTTTAAAAATATTTTGGGGGGGGGGGGGGGAGGGGGAGATATTTAACAGGGCTGTGCGTCATGGCGTTTGGCGTTTTGGCGTTAATTTTGGCCGATTTTTGGCGTTTTGCGTTTGGCGTGTTTTTAAAATTTGAAAAATTGGCGTTTGGCGTTTGGCGCGCCACGCGAAAATTTTGGCGCACAGCCCTGATATTTAACCCTAAAAATAAATATTTTAAAATGAATATTAGAGAGATAAATAAAAATAAAGAATTACTTAACAGAAAAATTTAAAAAATAAATTAATTTAAATAAAATAATGGACAAATAGACAGGGGGGACAAAGTAGGTGAAATTAAAATTACTTAATACTTTTTTCAGTTAAAAATTAATTTTAAAAAAGATTTTTTTGTTCGTTTTTAAATATTCACTGTAATTCTCTATTTAAAGATTACAAGATTTGCCGGATTAATAATTTTTAATTTAAAACTTTTTTCTCTATCTTTTTGTCCAATACTGTAAAAGAATTGACTAACTGTGAGACTGATAACTGGATCTACCGTATTTTTTCTATTAATTCCCCTGGGGAATTATTTTTTAAACCTATCATGGCATGGGTAATTAATCGAGGGAAGGAAATTATTCGAGGGAGGGCATTTGAACGTGCAGTTGGGTATTTGGGGGCGGGGAATTTTTGTTTCAACCCAACTCTAGCATGGGGAATTAATCGAGGGAGGGGAATTAATCGAGGGAGGGAATTAAGCGAGAAAATAGGGTATCTTTAAAATAAAATTTTTTGTTGAAATCTTTCTTTCGACTAGAATTTTAGAGCTTTTTACCTACCCAAAAAATTTAAATTTTTAGTTTTAATTCCCATCTACATCTATATACTATAATCAACATATAGTACAACTGCTTTCTTCTTCATAATTTGAATAATTATTTTCATTTTGATTAAAGTTTGGGTCTGTCCATGATTCTATCGGCTCACCATGTCCACTCCCTAAAATTAATAAATAACAGTAATATTAACAACTACAAAATATTTTACTAAGGACTATAAGATTAATAATAATTATATTTCATTTGTTCTGAGAGTTGAGAATTTTATTGTTTTCTCCAAATTATTTAAAATTGATTTGGCCTTTCGCCTTTCAATTCGAATAATAATAATAATAATTTACCTGGATGTACAGGAAGCATGCCCTGTGGTTGCATTGTACCTCCATAATAATTATGAGGAGGGTATACATTGTCTGTATAACCTTGTCCATAATGTGGATAACCAACTCCATGAGGATCATATGTCGGGTGATTAGACACTTCTCCGTAATTGCCTTTTAATTATTTTAATTATTTTTGAAACTAATTGAAAAAAAACTTTTGGGATGTTCAATTGCTTGTTCGTGATTCCCTCCTTGAGAACTTGTACTAGCAATTTCTTCATTTTTTCTCTGGTTTCTTAATTCTTCATCAGCAAGCTTAACTCTTTCAAAAATTTTCGCAAGTTTTTCTTCCTCGCTTAAAATATTTAAATTAATTTTTTTTAATTATTGTAAAAATTTAAAAAAAATTAAAAAAGAATAAAAGAAAATAATT